GATTCTTTGCAGAGTAACTTTTTTTTTTTTTTTATCACATGTTGGGTTTTCTGGTACCTGTTTTTATAGCGCAGTAACAAGTAGTTTGGGGAAGTGTTTGCTTCGGCGTTAGCTCCTCAGTCGTCCGGGAGCACTCACCCTGGTTAGTCCAAAGCAGCTGACTCTGGAGAGTAGAGTCCTGCACCTGAGTTCAGACCATGCCAGACTCGTGGGGGTCTTTGTTGAAGCCCATCCCGTCCTGCTGCATCGCTAGTGTGGAGGCGGGAAGTGGGTGTCCCACAGTGATTAGTTTCCTTTTGAAGAGAGGAGCTCGGTGCCTAGAGAGGCAGAGTGAGTTGCTTCACCCAGGGCTTCTTGCCTTTTTGGTTGCATGAACCCTAGTAGCAACCTAGTGTAGCCCGCGCGCATGCGCCTTTTCCTTAGGGTGATGAAAATACAAAGTCTTGAAAACGAGATTCATTGTACGGAGATAGAGCTGTCAAGCTGTTTTTCAAATACACGTGCTTCTGTATTGGAGCATTAACTGACAAGATCTGATGACGGGGAATGGCTGCCGTGACTGTGAATTAGGGTGAGCACATGGGATTTTTCGGGATATGCAGTACGATATGCAAGTACCTGTGATTTCTGCTGGCGATCGCTTCCCGGGCACTACTTTTTGCACCTGGGAGGTGCTGTGCTGCCTGCAGTCGTGATGGGAGTAAAGGCCGAGTGTCAGAAAATAGGCCTTAACTCTCCGTCCGTCCAAATCCTGAATCCTCTGAATGTGGACACGGATTAAAAATCCTTGGCTGGCCCCTCACGCCGCTAATGAGTTCAGGACCATCTGAGCAGTGGTAGCCATAGTCACACTTGTAGAGCCACCTCTAGATATTGATACAACTGTAGCCCCGAACAGGACCCCGCCACCACGTGTTCATGTCCTGACAGCATTGACACCAAGGGGGGAAAAGGAGGGCCGAAGTGATATTATTAATAATTCATAGAGAACTTAAACCGTGAGGTCCTGGTCCAAAGCTTTTCTGAACAAGTGCTGTTCCAAAGCATTTATTTGGTGTGTGCCAGGGATACTCAGGGGTCTCGGAGACGTTTGCAGAGGGCTTACGAGATTAAAAGTTTTTTCACAGTAACCGTTAAACTGTGACTGGCTTCTTTTCATCCACGTTCACTCAGGATGCAAGGACTTCCGGAAGTGTGGTGTGGCAACATGACAGGCAGCTAGGTGAAGCCAGCTGCCTTCTGTGCTGTCACGTATTAAAGAGATAAATAAATATGCAGAACAGTGTCAGGCTTCTAAGTGTTGTCTTTGGAGAAACAGATTCATTCATAAGAAATAGGTAATGTTGCTAACATGTATAATGACTCTAAAGCAACTTCTTTTTCGGTACTTGGGCTTGAACCCAGGGCCTCCACACTGAACTATCTTCCCAGCCATTTTTTTTTTTTTTTTTTGAGACAGGATCTTGCTGAAACATTTAGTTGCCCAAGCTGGGCTTGAACTTGTGATTCTCCTGCCTCAGCCTCTTGCTGGAATAACCCTTGACATCTGGCCTTTTTTTTTGTCCTGGTACCAGGGATTGAACTCAGGCCCTTGTGCTTGTGAGGCAGGTGGCGGAACCACTGAGCCAAATCCCCGGCCCTCATCTGGCTTTAAATTAACTCTTAAATGTGTTGCTTTGGATATCTGATTATAGTAAATAATGATAGAAGTAATCCACACAGACAAAAGCAAAACCTTATTTGGTAAGGACCTTTGGGGGGTTCTCGAAGACTTCAAGAGTATACAGGGGTTCTGATAGGAACAAGTTTTCCACACCACCACTTTGCACTTCCTTTCATGAAATCATTGTGTTTGTGCTGTGAGTTGCAGCTGGTCCCTTTCTCCAGATAGGGAAAGGAGGCTCATGGAAGATAAATGTCTCTTTCCTGGCCATATAGCTCACTGCTAGCCATGGCTTTTATACTGCATTGTCTCCTAGACTCTGGTGTTCCCATCACCTGCTTCTTGCCCTGTCCAGGTACCGGGCAGAGCACCTTCGTGGCTGGTACCAGATACCCACTTGCCCTCATTGGATTTTTCTATGTAAGCAGCAGTAAATGGACCTTGAAAGCTGGGAACTTGTGCACCATTTTTACTCTGCTTTACACAGTGCTGATTGTGGAAGTGTTGGTATTGATTTGAGGCTTCCCAATAAATTTCAGTGAGCAGGCGAATTCATAAATATAGATACTGTAGATACTGAGGGTCGACTGTAGTTAAAAAGAATAGAATATAAGAATCACCTTTTCCCCATGTGTGTCTGCTTTTGACTAATTTGGTGACTTGAAATGATTGCCTGTCCGCCTGCCTTCTTTCCTTTTTTGTGGTACTGGGGATTGAACCCAGGGCCTTTGCACTGATCTACATCCCCAGCCCTTTTTGTTATTTATTTAAAGAGAGTCTTACTCAGTTGCCCAGGTTGGGCTCAAATTTGTAATCCTCCTGCCTCAGCCTCCTAGAGTGCTAGGATTACAAGTGAAATGCTTTCTTCTCTGGCTTTCTGGGCCCATTTCTCCGTTGTTTTTCTCCCATGCTTCTAACTGCTCTCCCCATCTCTCCCCTTGAAATCATTCTGCAAACAGTAGCCAAAAGGACCTTTTAAAACTGAAAATCTGATGCTGTCACATCCCTGCTTGGCCTCCCCCGCTCCTGTTGTGGTTAGGATGACACTGAGACTCTTGGTTGTGGTCTTGCACGACCAGAAGTGCTGTCTACCTCTGCCTCTCTTCCCTCCCAGCATTCTAGCCACCCTGGCTTTATTTCTACTTTTTTAACTCCCCAAGCTCCGTTTGACTCAGGGCCTTGGCACTTGCTCCTCCCTCTTGTGGAATGTGCTTCCCGGATGTGAAAATGTCCAATTAGCTCTTAAAATCCAGACCGTCCTGCAGATCACCCCTCCGAAATCCCTTGCTCACGGGCAGTGCCATCTTGGCCCACACCTCTGGATGTCCTGCCCTTTCCCTCGGTGTGTTGGTATCGATTGCCTGACTTGCATCGTGGAAAGTAAAGCCAGGAGCTTGGGAACTCTGCCCTTGTCATCCCTGTACCCGGCCCTCAGGAAGAGCCCCTGGTCCACAGTTAGCGTGGAGTACACGAGGAGTGTGTGACTGAACACTGAGGCACCATCTGCCTACTGTGCGCTGTGCAGAATGCTGCCCTATGCCTGCTTCCCATGAAATAGGATAAAGGGCAGTAGGGAAGAGGACACTTAACAGAGAGAGTGGTGTTAATAAACTGTATAAGCAAGGGCCTGTGTGAACTCAGTGGGATATGTTGCATTTATTGGACCGGATAAAATAATAGGATCGTTTGCTTTTATTTTCCTTATTTGTAGCGGCTTCATAGAAGAGAGGGCATTGTAGGACTGGTTAAAGAGGAAGTAAAGCTGGAGCACAGTGGTGAACAGGCCCAGGAGGCTCTGAGACGTCGGATCGGTGCTGTTGGGTCTGAGTGGGAGAGGATTGAAGTTACGGTCTGTGGAAGAAAGGAAACATGCGAGGCTTTCTGAGGAGCACATACACATTGCACCCCAGGCGATTACAGAAAAAGGAAATGTGGAGAACACTTCGAATGGCACACTGGCACAGGGCTTCAGAGCAGAAGTAGTGGTTTTAAAATGAGCTTGCCAAGAGTTTTGTGGCGGTCTTAAGTGTGGTGCTGCTGCCATCTTGGCTGAATTTTTCTTTCGGTGGTGGTTGTTGCTGTTTGCAGCACTAGGGATTGAACTCAGACCTTTTGCACTGAGCTACATTCCCACACATTTTTTTGTGTTGAGACAGGGCCTTGCAGATTGCTCAGTTGCCCAGGCTGGCCTCAGACTGCGATCTTTTTGCTTCAGCTTCCCAGAGTGCTGGGATTACAGAAATTCGCCACCATGCTTGGTTGCCTTAGCTGATATTTAATTAAGTCGTCATTTCCCCATATCTAAATTTTGAGACAAACTAGAGGGATTTGACGGTCAGAAATTAAGTCTCATTGCAATTTTATTTTCCTGTATAGAAGGGCCTATTTCCAGAAATACTCTGTACACTAACATAATCATAACCCTACACATGTCAAAAAAAATTTAAGACCTTCAAAAGAATAAAAGGAACGATTCAGAGCCCTTATCTCTGAGGTCCAGGAGCCGTCCAAGGCTACAGGTTGTTCTTTACTTAGGATTCCAGTGGACGAAAACATCTTTTTCTCCTTCATGGCGTAGGTCAAATGGCCCAAGAGAAGCCTACACTCTGGATGTGAAAGGTTGTAATAAATTCCGCAGGAATCCTTGGCCTCTGTCATATCTCGGCATGAATGGGGTTTTATTGTTGAGCTTTAAGAAGTGCTTTTGAGAAATGACTCTGAGGCAGAGATGTGGGTGAACAACGGAGAGCGGCAGATGACCATGGGAAATGTGTTTTTCCAAGTGGATGTTTCTGCCTTGTCCTCTCAGAGCCTGGGCTGGCGGGCAGGGCTCCCTCAAACGACTATCTGAATTGCTGGCAGCCGCTTCCCGAGCGAGAGACAGAGCCGGCTTTGTGTCCCTCCGAGCTCCGTGCGTGACATAGCCCCTGTTGTTCCAAAGGCTTCGGAGCCGTTTTCCGCCTTTTCCCAGACGTGCCATCTCTCCTTACCTTTCCACCCCCGGCGAGGCAGTCACTGCTCACATCAGGTGACAGCCGAACCCCCAAGCCATCCCTCTGAGGGTCCTGGCGGACAAACCCTTTGCCCTGGAAGCGAGATGAGGGAGGAAATTGTGGGAGAGATGAATTCCCCCTCGCATCTTGCTCTTGCTGACTCAGCCCCGGTGAGTAAGGTACATCCTGGACCCGGTTTATTACCTATATACCTGTGGCCAGGTGTGCTGGGCTTTCCCTGTGCTCCCTGTGAGCCTGTACGGCTCTCATGCCAGAGACCATTTGTAAGACTCAGTCATAAGACTTAAAATCTCATGGTTTTGCCCTTTAGGATGTGAAATCACAAACCCTCAAGCTCTGGAGTCTGGAAGCACCCCTCTTGGTGAACACGTTAGAGAAAAACAAGGCCCTGGAGGCATAAGTGACTTATCCAGAATCACACTGCTGGTAGGAGATTTTTGTTTCAACTTGTTTCATAGCTGCTCTTTTCTCTTTGTAACTCCAGCTGTCCATCCCAAGTAGAAATTGTCTTCTCCTTCCCCCCACCCCAGGTTATAAATAACATCCAGGGACCACTGAGGATGTAGCTTAGTGGTAAGCGCTTGCCTGGCATGCATGAGGTTGTAGGATTCATCCCTAGTACTGCGATAAAAATAAATAAATAAATAAATAAGATCCAGCCATTCAAACAGCCTCCTCTTTTAGGAGATTTGGGAAGAGTTTCGAGAGCCTGCAAAGTGGAGGGCACCGGGTGGGTTCCACAGTTTGGCCTCAAATTTGCAGGGCTGCTGCTGGGCCCGGGGCCTTTGGTTCGTAGTGCTGTGTTAATGTGATGTGAGTTGCAAAATTCATAAGTCGTGCAGTGTTCTCACCACATCCCAGGCGTGTTTGAGAATAAGTGTCTTTGTGTTCCGCGACGTGGGGGAGGGGCGAGGGAAGGGTGTCGTGGACGATAAAGGATGATCATAGTCCCCTGAAAGTCAGAGAGCACGTAGACGTTCTCTGGCCCGGCTTGTGAACGGAAGGCTGCTGGGTGGGTTTCAGGTTGAGTCGGGAACCTCCTCCTCTAGCAGTTCAGCGTGTCCCACCTCACTCGCTCCCGTGGGAGCAGACCGGGGCCAGGCGAAGCGGCCTCCTCTCCTGTAGGGCGCCACCCTTGATCTCTGGGAGGGTCGCCTCCTGAAACGGGGGTGGCGTCGGTCTCCCTGATGTCCAGCGCTGCTCTTGGCCTCTGGGCTTCCTTAAGAACAGAAGTCAATAGGAAGGTGCCCCTGCTCTTTGCTGTGGTAAGCAGAGAAGGCCTGTACGTCAGATCCCAACAGCATACTTGGTTTTAGCTTTTACTTTCCACCTTCAGAATTCTGAGGCAGTTTCAGTGCACTTTTTTGCTTGTCTGTATTTTCAGAAAAAAGAGAAAATTAATACAAATGAAATCGTAGTGTGTGACATCTGGTAATGGCACTGCGAAGTTCGTGATGCTCTAAAAAACCTCATTGGAGTTGGTATAACCTCTGTCAGGTAGTGGTTAAAACTGAAAGGCACATAGCCTAGCAGTTCCACTTTAGCGAGTTTATCCTAGCAGTATAACCACATGTGAGGAGTAATGGATGGACAAAGTGCATATATTATTTATTGCAGCATTATTGATAGCAAAATAACTCAACTGTTATTCCGCTGGGGATGGGCTTAATGATTAATAGGGCATGCACACAACAGAATGCTATACAGTCATTAAAAAGGAATTGAGCTCAGGGATGAACCTCTGATGAAGAGAACATGAGTATGTAGTGGCTCAAAAAGGAGGCTTTCAAAAAAGGTATTAAAGTCAGTGCTATCTACATTAAAAATGTATCTAGACCCCTACTTAATGCCATGTAAAAGTATGTTCTAGATTTATAAAAAGTGAAACAACAGACGTTCTTAGAAGCAGAAGGGGCTATTGTCATGACCTTGGAACACGAAGAGATTTCTTCAATGCACCCGAACTTTATTTGGTGTCAAAATGACACTAACTTTATAAGAAGGAAATTATTTTGGGTCATATTAAGAACTTCTGTTCACCAAGAGACAGCTGTATGAGTTTTAAAAGACAGCCTACAGAATGGAGGGAAACAATGCCAGCATGTCCAACTGATGCTGCCTTATATCACAAGTATATAAAGAACTGTGGATTAGTGAGAAAAAAATTGATGTCCGTTAGAAGCATGGGCTATAGAAATGAATGTGTGCTTTGCAAAAAATGGTACCTAAGTATCCAGGAAGCTTGCAGATGGGTGCCGAGCTCCATCTCTCATCAGGAAGACCAAACAGTGCCATGAGAAGAGCCCCACGAACTGGCTACCAGGATGACAGACAGAGGGCAAAGCTCAGCCAGAGTACGGCTGGGTGAGACTGTGTGACAAGGGGAGCCCTCGTGCAGGGAGGGGGTGTACATTGGTATAACCACTTCAGGAAACTGCCCAATGGTTCCTTGATGTACATCCATCCAACAGTTCTACCTTCAGGGCAGTGAAAATACTTGTGTGCAGGAAAGATTGTGGCATATTATTCACATAGCTCCAAAATCCGAAGGGGCACTCTTGCCCCCCAAAAGTCAAATGACTATGTAAATTGTGGAATTCTCACACAGCATGACAACATCAGGCAACTAGAGTGAATGAGTTACGTGTGCTCACAGAAATATGGATTCATTGGCCTACATCCCAGTATAGGGGAAGCGGACTCATGCTTTCAGAAGTCAGGATAGTGGTTACCTTCGATACCTGCAGGGTAGGGGTGGTGGATGTGCTACAGTGGGGTGGGAGGTGAGACATTGGGGTCATTGGAATGTACCACTCCATGTCTTGTTCTGAGTACTGGTTTAGGTGGGCGTGAAATTTAGTGAGATGTACACCTATGGTATGTGTACATTTATTTCTCTGTGTGTATTAAAGTTAAATAAAATTTTTAGAAAGAAAAGGAATGGTGTCTTTCCAGGATATATTTGAGTAAAAGAACAAGGTGCAGAAAAAGTGTATATCGTATGAATTTTTTTTAAGCAGGAATCACTGTATGTCACGCAGTGTTTTAGGCACTGAATGCAACAGACAGAAGTGTAGGTCTGTTTGTGTGCTTGTAAATGCTGGACTGTTGATAAAAGTGTACGAGATGAGTTGTCCACTGCTTGTTTCTTGGGAGGGAATGGAGGGAGTAGGGGTCAGAAGTAGAAAGGAGGGGCAGGCGTGCAGCACAAGTAGCAGAGCTCTTCTCTAGCAAGTGCAAGGACAGGGTTTGATTCCCAACCCCTGAAAACTTAAAAAAATAAGAAGCAGAAGAGTTCTTATGGAATCTTTTTGTGCCTCTTAAAGTCCACACAATGGGTTACGAATTTTAAAAAATGAATTTAACAACCCTGATAACTGGATTATTAATGTTATTTGTGAACAAAGGAAGCCTCTGTGTGTCCTTGAGAGATGAACCGAAACGCACCATCCTGGTGGTTTGCCCCAGATTGCATAGGATGCCTCTGCTGCAGTGGCCAGGACTTTTGAAATCCAAGTCTGCCAACTTTATTACTCTTTGGTTGGTGAGATCACGTAAGGCTCTCGGCCAGGTGAGAAGGGAGGAATAAGATGTGCACACTTCCTGGTACAGTGGGCCGTACTGGATCATTATCTGACGTTCGCCGGGTGGCAGCTGCCCTTCAGTACACTGGCCTGACAGGAAGGTGCCCTTGTTTGCAGAGAGGGCTGATTATAAAGCAGTTAATACTGCTAGGCTCTGAATCTGTTCTCAGAGGTTCAGGCTGGATTCTAATACCGTTTCAGTTTTAAAGCCCAGTAGGTAGAAATGGCCTGGCCTTGCAAGCCTCTTCGTGGGAAGTGAACCCCCAGGAGTCTCTGAGTGATATGACTTTTGTTCTTGGGTCCTGTGCTTGTGGAGAAACCCTCACTCACTAGCTCAGGACAGGCTGGCATCCTCAGAGGTATGTGCGGAGTGACTGAATGAAGGAACGGGTGGACTCAGTGACTGGGTTAGGTGTGGTTGGAGTCGTGCCAACTTGCGTGTCAGTCTCCCACTCACTGAACCTTCCTTACCTGCTCCAAAACGGTTCTCATCGTGGAGGACTTTGGGTCCCAGTGGTTCACTAGGTGGTCAGGAGGACGACCTAAGTCCCTAGAAAGTGCACAGAGTAGGCAGGGCTACCTTTCCGGAGTACTTTTCTTGGGATTGGTAGGGTGCTGCAGAATGCACTCCCATTCTCAGGAACTCCTAGACGTTTGTGACCTGTGGTCCTGGGTGAACCGTTTCTGGTCCTGGCACCTAGGTAGACTCTGAGTCCATTAATCCTGAGTGATCATCTTAGGTGCCCACAAGCCTGCCTCAAAGAAGTCTGGTGCTCACTGGAGTTAGAGAGCTGACTGCGTATAGAAAACACTGGATTTATGTTTCCGAGGACCGTGACATGCCTTGAGGAGGCTGGTATCCAGTCCACCTTTGGCAGTAAGAGGCTTGCTGCTCAAGATTGTTTTCAGATTGCTTTGATGGCTTCAGGGAGGCGTCCACTCGCAGATTCAGAAATGACTGGAGTCTGCAGGAGAATTCTTTTCATGTTTGAGCTCTGATATAAGCCAAGAGACTTGGAAATGTTGAATCTATTATATTTTCTTTTCTGAATTAGATGTGGGTCTGCTTGCTCAGTTCAGATTTTTAACATGACTTATTTCAATAGCAAATAGCTCACTGCACGAGGAAAACTCCAATCCCCGTCACTTCTCCGTTGTTGACATTTTGATTTTGCTTTAACACAGTGACACCAGAACAGGTATTTTTGACCAGGAAGAGAGTGAAAGCTGCTCATTTGCTGTCCAAAAGACTAAAATTGTAAAGATCAGAGAGAACGTAGGGACTTTTGCTTTTTTTATTTACTTTTCATTTGATTTTTTTTTTTCTTTAAGGTCTATAGGGCAAAATTCTGTGTTGGACAGGCATTAACAGTTATAAAACCACTCTTCTAAAACTGCCTGTCAAGAAATGACAGATAGAAGAAATAGAACCATCTAAAATGTAACCTTGTTCTACTTTATATATCCATGTTTGCTCTCAGTTCTGAGAATTCTTTGCTAGTTTTTTTCTTCTTCTCTTTTAGTACCTGTGTGCTGTACATAGTGAATATCAAGCTATTCTCCTGCTAGATGTCTTTGGTAGTTTTTAACAGCATGTTTGGATTAAGTAAGCTTTAGGAATTGTCTTTCATAAAGATCACTTTTTTCTATTTTGGGATATTTAGGGTTTGGGGGAGCTGAAGGACAGAGGGACAGTACCAGAGAACTATTGAGCCCAGGATTAGCAAGTCAAGCTTGTATTTTAATCTCTGTTAACAGACAGTGCAATGATCTGTCTCTTTAGACTTGTTTTTTCATCTGTAAAACAAAGATGGTATTTTCTACTATCTTCCAGACTGTCAG